TTTCTTATTTTTTTCGGAAAAACTAGTCTGGTCACCCCCTTTGCAGGTGCATTTAATGCACTTAATGTCCTTCAAATTTGCCAAATCATGCACGAAACTGATCACTAGACATCCCTCTATGTCTAGGTATGGTCCTCACCGACTCACTGGCATATAAACAAATGTGGCACCACCCCAAAAAGGCTACCTCAAGCAGCCTGCAACTGCAGTTCAATAGTGTGACATGCCTACTTTGAGCCAAAGGTTGGGATCCTTTCCAATTGAATTAAGGGCTGGAATTTATTCTCCTATATAGATAAGATTGTCCTCTTCCACCGCCTATAAATAGAGGCTCTGTTGATGATTTAAGGGAAAAGAAAACCGAACCCAAAGTTGGCCAAAAACCAGCCTTCCCTACCCATTTTTCCTACAACCGCCTCTTTTTCTTCTTTCTCTCTCCGTCGTGGCTTACAACCACCACCACCACCATTCCCTGTCTTCTGGATGTCACCTCCAACTCAAGTAGCCTCCAAAACATCACCTGTGTTGGTTGCATCACCTCTCCCTCTCTCTCCCTTCTATGCAATTCTTTTTTCTTCTTCTCTGCCCCATGACAGCAGCCACACCAGCAGCTCTCCATCGTTGCCACCATTTGCACCACATCATCTTCCTTGATTGAACCACCCTCGAGCAGGTAACTTTCCTCTTCTTTTTCCTCCCCCTCTTCTTCATGCCACTGCGTGAACAATAGGCATGAATTATAATTCACGTCCTATTGTTCACATGAATAGTGGGCGTGAATTATAATTCACATCCATTATTCATGCAGTGGATGTTGGGTTGGGCCATATTTGGCCCAGCCCAAAATTCTGGGCTAGGTGCGCCCCAGCCCTCAAGAAATAAATAAAAAGTGTTTGGCCGAGGTCGGCCCAACACTGGTTGGGTCGTATTTGGCCCAGCCCAAAGTGTTTGGCCAAGGCTGGCCTAATTATTTCAGGTCAAGACCGGCCCGAGCTCTGCTATGCCTAAGCTCAAACCAGATTATCCGGCCCAGCCCAGTCCATGTAGATTTTTATTTTATTTATTATAATAATATATTATATTATTAAAAAACAAAACAATTCAAAAAAAATTTGAAAAGTCCTTTTGAAAAATTTGTGATTTTCTCAAATATTTTTCCACCAATTTTGCATAATATCGGCATGTATATTTACATTGTAAAATACAAATCCGGTATTAAAATACCGATTTCTCTGGAAAAAAATGAAAAATTCTAAAAGAATTGAAAAGTCCTTTTGAAAAATTTGTGATTTTCTCAAACATTTTTTCTATCAATTTTACATAATATTGGGTTATATATTTTCATTGTAAAATACAAATTCGGTATTAAAATATAGATTTTCTCTAAAGAAATTATATAAAAAAAGAAAAAAATCTCAAAAAAACTTTAAATCAATTTTCATTTTTTTAAAAAAATTATTTTCATGCAAACGGCCAAATTCTAAAATTTTTCCAAGCATATTTTTCATTAAAAAATAAAAATAAAATTGCATCTTTTTCATGTTTTAAAAAAATGGATATCGTAACCAGTTGATGATTATCCATTAGGATTTGGCTAATATATCAAAAAACAAATTCCAATCTTTTTTTAGGATCTAGATGTAGACTTTAATATTTGTGGGGTGTAAAATTACACGATAAAGTACATCCTTAGGTATTAAAGATACAATATGTAAATAAATATGATGTTAAGACTTTAGAACGATTAGGATTTAACTCGATAAGATAGAGACTCTCTCATAGAGAGAGATCTATCTTGAGCCTTAGAAAAGACCAACCAATAGAAATCTGACTTAAAAAACAATCAAACAATAATGCAACTTACCTTAGATAGGGTGCACTGTGGGTGATGCGTCTTCCCCTTGCACAACCAGTCCCTTACTCAGACTCTCGCAGACCATAAGTTCATAGTAACCATAAGACTAGGTGGCGACTCCCAAAAATTAATCATAATTTTTCCAACACACAACATTCCCTCATTAAGAGGCATCATAGAGAGCCTCCGTTGTCGCTAAAAGACGTCACCCCAGCGACAAAGTGAGAGCAGTTTTATTTTATATGAATTTCTAATTATATGTGTATATCTCATTCTCTCAACAATACTTTTATTTATAGGCACATATACATAAATACTTGTAACCTTAGAGATATAAGGAGTGTAGGAAGGTATTTAGACATACATATACAATATATGAATTTCTAGTTATATGTGTATATCTCATTCTCTCAACAATACTTTTATTTATAGGCACATATACATAAATACTTGTAACCTTAGAGATATAAGGAGTGTAGGAAGGTATTTAGACATACATATACAATATATGATTTTATAACATTCCCTCTTAAATATCTATTGTAAAACCTTATATATTAAAAGTTGCCTCATTAAAAACATTGCTAGGAAAACTCAATAAGAAAAAACATAGGTTAAAGAAAAAACAATGCAGCGTATATTAACTTTCCCTAATTAAAATATCATCTCAAGTCTTTAAGCTATCTCCTTCCAATATTGCACCGCAATCCTTTAAAAATTATAGTTGATAATGTTTTAGTGAACAAATCTACTAGATTATTTTTTAAGTGAGTTTGTTGAACATCAATGTTACTATGTGAAGAAGAATTTTGGTGAGATATTCTTTGTCTTATCTCCTTTGATGTATCATCCCTTTAATTGAGTTATGCATGCAATATTATCTTCATATAATATGGTTAAAGTTCCTTGCTGGAGGATAAACCATATGTTCCATAATTATGTTTTTATCATTGATCTCAGCCACACACACTCATGACTAGCTTCATGGATTGCAAGTATTTTAACATGATTAAATGAAGTAACAACTAATGTTTTCTTTGTAAATCTCTATAATATAGTAGTATTACCACATGTAAAGAGATAACCTGTTTAAAATTGACCTTTATATGGATCAGATAAAAATCATGCAATCAACATACCTAACTAATTCATGATTAGAATTATTTGAATAAAATAAGCTCGTATTTGAATTTCCTTGTAGATAATGAAAAACATGTTTAATTTCATTTCAATGTCTCCAAGCAGGAAAAGAACTATATCTTGCTAACAAGTTCATAAAGAATACTATATCAGGTCACGTATTATTAGTAAGATACATTTGCGCACCAATTGCACTAATATATGGTAATTGAAGACCAAGAAATTATTCGTCATCCTCACGAGGTCTAAAAGTGTCTTGTTGAACATCAAGTCATCGAACAACATTGATGTACTTAATGAATGTGTTTTATCCATATAAAATCTTTTACGGATCTTTTCTATGCAAGTTGACTGATAAATGAGAATTTCATCTGCTAAATGCTTGATCTGTAGGCCGAGAAATTTTTTTTTTTAATCTTTCATCTCAAACTCTTTCTTTAAATAATTTATTATTTTTGGTATCTCTCTATGAATTTCAATAATATTTAAATCATCAACATATATAAAAATAATAACAAATCATATTCTGACTTTTTTATAAAAATACATAGGTATATAAAATCATTATTATAACCTTCTCTCTATAAATATTCATTAAGATGATTATACCACATGCATTCTGATTACTTTAACCCATATAAGAACCTTTATAACTTGATTGAGTAAACTTTTAGGGAATTTGAATTATATGCTTTGGGCATTTTAAATCCTTTAGGGATTCTCTTATAAATATTATTATCAATTGACCAATATAAATAGGTTGTGACTACATCTATTAGACATATATATATAGCTTTTCATGAGCTACTAAGCTAATGAGATACCAAAATGTAATTGCATCTACTACAAGAGAATATGTTGCATCATAATCAATGTCAAGTCTTTGCGGAAAAATTACTCTAGCCTTTATATTTTATTTTTTTCATATCAATAAAGTTTTGAATTTATTGTTTTTTAGTCATCATATTTTAGAGTAAGTATAATTTAGTCCTTGATCTAATTTTCTTTATTGAGAATTATAGTGAAAAAAGAAGGAATTGAAACAAATCCAAAATATACAATGACATGTCATTTATACCATTGGAATTACCGATGGTATTAATGCTGTCAATAAAATCCTTTTGTAAACTTATTGGTAAATTGTTTATTTCTCCTAACACTGTTTATCATGTAAATTATAAAGGGAATCATGAATGGAATTTTATTCTTTACAGATAAAATCACAAATGAATTGAAAAGTCATTAGTGTTATTTGAGGGTTTCTAAAAAAAAATTATTAAATTAAAAAATAAAATTAAATATTATAGACAGAATCACCGACGGATTGAAAAGTCATTGGTAATATTTGGTAGTTTCTAAGAATTTTTAATTAAATTAAAATTTTAAATTAAATATTATAGATAAAATCACCAATATAATAGTTAAATATAAAATTTCATGCTTTCAATCAATATCAATTGGGGATGAGTGCTATCTTAATAGTTTATTTTATAAAGGTTGCTTCTAAAAAAAAGAGATAAAGCTAGTCTTTTTATATAGTGTATGAAATTGAAGGCAAAGCACATATTTACTAGTTCCAATCAATATCAATCGGCTATTCACATCAGGGTCCAAAGAAGGCTTGTACTTTTCTTTTGAGAGTCTTTTTCATCTTTTTATATGTAATCCTATCGGTGAATCAATTACCGATAGAAAAATAATATAGGTATCAACAAAAAATTACCTCAATAAATATAAAAATTCTCTTAATGATTAATTGATTATAAATGTGATTATTTATTATGATTATTCTTGATATTATTATGATATTACTGATTTTTTTAACAATAACATTTATTTATTTTGATAATTTTGAGAAAGTTTAGTATTTGATAGTTTTATATTTGTTTTTAATTATAAATTAATTGTTAGAGACATGATGATATTAATTAATTGTAAAATAAAAGGACAAAAAGACTTTGGATCTTCTAAACACAAAATAAAGAGCAGAAAGGCGTATGATCACAGTAACCTGAGGTCAATTTTCCGCTCTATAAATTATCTAGCGGGTGAGGTAGATTAATAGCTAGTTGTGCTTGCTGAGAGAGCAAGCAATGCAGAATGAGATGAGCAAGATCCTCATATGTGGGGGAACTGGCTACTTAGGCAAGTATATGGTGAAAGCAAGTGTTTCAATGGGTCACAAAACTTACATATATTCTCGTCCCATCACCACACAATCTTCTCCTGCTAAAATAGGCATCCACAAGGAATTCCAAGCCATGGGGGTCACCATTGCTCAAGTATATAGTGATTAATCTAATTAACCCTTCGTTTTCTAATTTACCAACATTCATCTTGATTACCCTTCACCCTACATGTACGTGTTCAAAAGCATGACGTTAAATAACTAAATAGTTTTCAAGTGTTGCAGGGAGAATTCGATGAGCAGGAGAAACTTGTATCGGTTCTTCGTCAAGTGGATGTAGTTATCTCCACATTAGCTAATCCTCAGGTTCTCGACCAGCTCAAAATTATAGAAGCCATAAAAGTTGCTGGTAATATAAAGGTATATATCCTCTTGTTAAAGGACAACAATCTGGAGAGTGTTATATATAGTTATGTGCATGTGTGGTGGGCTAGCTAAGCTTATTCATGTAATTTTCTGTGCATACTAGAGGTTCTTTCCGTCAGACTTTGGAGTTGAAGAGGACAGAGTGACTCCCTTGCCCCCATTTGAAGCTTTCCTTGAGAACAAGAGGAAGATTAGAAGGGCCACAGAGGAAGCCGGAATCCCTTACACTTTTGTGTCAGCAAATTGCTTTGGTGCATACTTTGTCAATTACTTGCTCCGTCCACATGAGCAACCTCAAGATATCACTGTCTATGGCTCTGGTGAAGCTAAGGGTACGAAAACATCAATTCCATTCATTCATTATCGTCACTGTGTGTATCAAAATCCCAATTTACTGTACACGTACTCTACATCAGTATCTATATATCCATTATCATACATCTATTATGATAATCTTTCTATTATTTTCATCTATAAATTGCAGTGAGTTTTACCAACAGAAATATTTCATTGATATATACCAAGAGAATTATAGTGAAAAAAGAAGGAATTGAAACAAATCCAAAATATACAATGACATGTCATTTATACCATTGGAATTACCGATGGTATTAATGCTGTCAATAAAATCCTTTTGTAAACTTATTGGTAAATTGTTTATTTCTCCTAACACTGTTTATCATGTAAATTATAAAGGGAATCATGAATGGAATTTTATTCTTTACAGATAAAATCACAAATGAATTGAAAAGTCATTAGTGTTATTTGACGGTTTCTAAAAAAAAATTATTAAATTAAAAAATTAAATTAAATATTATAGACAGAATCACCGACGGATTGAAAAGTCATTGGTAATATTTGGTAGTTTCTAAGAATTTTTAATTAAATTAAAATTTTAAATTAAATATTATAGATAAAATCACCAATATAATAGTTAAATATAAAATTTCATGCTTTCAATCAATATCAATTGGGGATGAGTGCTATCTTAATAGTTTATTTTATAAAGGTTGCTTCTAAAAAAAAGAGATAAAGCTAGTCTTTTTATATAGTGTATGAAATTGAAGGCAAAGCACATATTTACTAGTTCCAATCAATATCAATCGGCTATTCACATCAGGGTCCAAAGAAGGCTTGTACTTTTCTTTTGAGAGTCTTTTTCATCTTTTTATATGTAATCCTATCGGTGAATCAATTACCGATAGAAAAATAATATAGGTATCAACAAAAAATTACCTCAATAAATATAAAAATTCTCTTAATGATTAATTGATTATAAATGTGATTATTTATTATGATTATTCTTGATATTATTATGATATTACTGATTTTTTTAACAATAACATTTATTTATTTTGATAATTTTGAGAAAGTTTAGTATTTGATAGTTTTATATTTGTTTTTAATTATAAATTAATTGTTAGAGACATGATGATATTAATTAATTGTAAAATAAAAGGACAAAAAGACTTTGGATCTTCTACACACAAAATAAAGAGCAGACAGGCGTATGATCACAGTAACCTGAGGTCAATTTTCCGCTCTATAAATTATCTAGCGGGTGAGGTAGATTAATAGCTAGTTGTGCTTGCTGAGAGAGCAAGCAATGCAGAATGAGATGAGCAAGATCCTCATATGTGGGGGAACTGGCTACTTAGGCAAGTATATGGTGAAAGCAAGTGTTTCAATGGGTCACAAAACTTACATATATTCTCGTCCCATCACCACACAATCTTCTCCTGCTAAAATAGGCATCCACAAGGAATTCCAAGCCATGGGGGTCACCATTGCTCAAGTATATAGTGATTAATCTAATTAACCCTTCGTTTTCTAATTTACCAACATTCATCTTGATTACCCTTCACCCTACATGTACGTGTTCAAAAGCATGACGTTAAATAACTAAATAGTTTTCAAGTGTTGCAGGGAGAATTCGATGAGCAGGAGAAACTTGTATCGGTTCTTCGTCAAGTGGATGTAGTTATCTCCACATTAGCTAATCCTCAGGTTCTCGACCAGCTCAAAATTATAGAAGCCATAAAAGTTGCTGGTAATATAAAGGTATATATCCTCTTGTTAAAGGACAACAATCTGGAGAGTGTTATATATAGTTATGTGCATGTGTGGTGGGCTAGCTAAGCTTATTCATGTAATTTTCTGTGCATACTAGAGGTTCTTTCCGTCAGACTTTGGAGTTGAAGAGGACAGAGTGACTCCCTTGCCCCCATTTGAAGCTTTCCTTGAGAACAAGAGGAAGATTAGAAGGGCCACAGAGGAAGCCGGAATCCCTTACACTTTTGTGTCAGCAAATTGCTTTGGTGCATACTTTGTCAATTACTTGCTCCGTCCACATGAGCAACCTCAAGATATCACTGTCTATGGCTCTGGTGAAGCTAAGGGTACGAAAACATCAATTCCATTCATTCATTATCGTCACTGTGTGTATCAAAATCCCAATTTACTGTACACGTACTCTACATCAGTATCTATATATCCATTATCATACATCTATTATGATAATCTTTCTATTATTTTCATCTATAAATTGCAGTGAGTTTTACCAACAGAAATATTTCATTGATATATACCAAGAGAATTATAGTGAAAAAAGAAGGAATTGAAACAAATCCAAAATATACAATGACATGTCATTTATACCATTGGAATTACCGATGGTATTAATGCTGTCAATAAAATCCTTTTGTAAACTTATTGGTAAATTGTTTATTTCTCCTAACACTGTTTATCATGTAAATTATAAAGGGAATCATGAATGGAATTTTATTCTTTACAGATAAAATCACAAATGAATTGAAAAGTCATTAGTGTTATTTGACGGTTTCTAAAAAAAAATTATTAAATTAAAAAATTAAATTAAATATTATAGACAGAATCACCGACGGATTGAAAAGTCATTGGTAATATTTGGTAGTTTCTAAGAATTTTTAATTAAATTAAAATTTTAAATTAAATATTATAGATAAAATCACCAATATAATAGTTAAATATAAAATTTCATGCTTTCAATCAATATCAATTGGGGATGAGTGCTATCTTAATAGTTTATTTTATAAAGGTTGCTTCTAAAAAAAAGAGATAAAGCTAGTCTTTTTATATAGTGTATGAAATTGAAGGCAAAGCACATATTTACTAGTTCCAATCAATATCAATCGGCTATTCACATCAGGGTCCAAAGAAGGCTTGTACTTTTCTTTTGAGAGTCTTTTTCATCTTTTTATATGTAATCCTATCGGTGAATCAATTACCGATAGAAAAATAATATAGGTATCAACAAAAAATTACCTCAATAAATATAAAAATTCTCTTAATGATTAATTGATTATAAATGTGATTATTTATTATGATTATTCTTGATATTATTATGATATTACTGATTTTTTTAACAATAACATTTATTTATTTTGATAATTTTGAGAAAGTTTAGTATTTGATAGTTTTATATTTGTTTTTAATTATAAATTAATTGTTAGAGACATGATGATATTAATTAATTGTAAAATAAAAGGACAAAAAGACTTTGGATCTTCTAAACACAAAATAAAGAGAGAGAGGCGTATGATCACAGTAACCTGAGGTCAATTTTCCGCTCTATAAATTATCTAGCGGGTGAGGTAGATTAATAGCTAGTTGTGCTTGCTGAGAGAGCAAGCAATGCAGAATGAGATGAGCAAGATCCTCATATGTGGGGGAACTGGCTACTTAGGCAAGTATATGGTGAAAGCAAGTGTTTCAATGGGTCACAAAACTTACATATATTCTCGTCCCATCACCACACAATCTTCTCCTGCTAAAATAGGCATCCACAAGGAATTCCAAGCCATGGGGGTCACCATTGCTCAAGTATATAGTGATTAATCTAATTAACCCTTCGTTTTCTAATTTACCAACATTCATCTTGATTACCCTTCACCCTACATGTACGTGTTCAAAAGCATGACGTTAAATAACTAAATAGTTTTCAAGTGTTGCAGGGAGAATTCGATGAGCAGGAGAAACTTGTATCGGTTCTTCGTCAAGTGGATGTAGTTATCTCCACATTAGCTAATCCTCAGGTTCTCGACCCGTTTTGTATAATTAACCTCTCTGTGGTTTGACCTCGGTCTTGTTGGATTATTTATTACTTCGACACTTCTGTACTTACAAGAAGACATTAATCTTCTCGTCGTGTTAGGAAGAAGAAGACTGGAATGACATTTAATAGGATTTACGTCCATGAGGATGAGATAGTGAAGCTCTTTGAGAGTAAGAAATATCTTTTGACGCATTATTTTTTAATATTTGATATACTTTGGCTTCTTGCCCTTTTCATTTGATTAATGGGATTCTTCCATTCTATATAATATTTTTATCTCAAACCTACATTTTCAGGTGATTTCTTTTCACCCTTTAAAAGCATTTGACTTCTTGCTAACATCTGTTGCAGCCCTTCCACATCCACAAAATATCCCAGTTTCTGTTCTTCACAGTTTGTTCGTGAAGGGTGACACGATGGGGTTTGAACTGGGAGAGGGCGACTTGGAGGCTTCTGGGCTATATCCAGACCTGGAATTTAGAACGATCGATCAACTTCTTGATATTTTTTTGACTAGCCCTCCAGATCGTGCAGCTGCTGCCTTTGAATGAGTTTTATGATCTGCGATTTCCATGTCTTGAATTTGTTTTCTTGTTTGTAACGTCCGCAGATAGACGGACATCTAAAAGGTCAGGTTGTGAGGCCGAGGCCATTATTATTAATAATCGGAGTCCTTTCTTTGTATACCTTGGCTGTATTGGTACTGCAATTATTATTGCCGTCTCTAGGACAATATAATCAAGAAGGTGGAACAAAATATAGAGATCTTTAAGACTTCAATGACGTTTAGGTCTCCAAATTCTCAAATGATTAATACACGAGTGCATAACATTATATTATTATTATTATTATATACAAAACACTAAAAGGCCCAGTAAAATAATATTGTTTCTTATGCTACTGTTCACGTATAGACAAATCACTATATATTGTTGGAGTGATTTATTCTTTTTTTTTTTTTCAATGACACTGTCATGAACCAAGTCAATAACTTCCCATGCTGAGTTCTCTTGAAGGGCTTACATCTGTTCATTCATTGCCTCCCTCCATCTAGAATCATCCAAGGCTTCTGCACATTATTAAAAATAGATACAATAAATAATTGATATATAAATGCCATTTTTTCTTTTGACAATCTATGTTAGAATACATAGTTATTCAGAGAATATTTAAATTTAGAGTGAAGGACCGGTTCATAGTTCACCTATAGAATACATAGTTAAAAATATTTAAATCTAGAGTGAAGGACCGGTTCATAGTTCACCTTGGGTTTACCTCGTGTGACTCGATTAAGTAGTTCTTTTAGAGGTTCAAATGGAAGACTCTCATGAGACTCAAGTATGAAATCGACCGGGGAACACAATTGGTTAACTGGTATATTGTAGGAAACTGTTGGCACCTCCAAGTTATCCTGATTATTGTCAATGATTTCGATTTCTGGACCATCACAACCATAACTTGCATCACTGGTATACCCCTCCCTGTCCCGGTGATCCTCAATGTTCTTATCACCCGGACATTCATTGCTAGTTTCCAAGTTATCCAAAGGATCAATTAATCGGTTACCTTGTGCAATGACATCCAAATTATATATGTGCAGGATTAGTTAATCTCTGCACTTCATCGCCAGCCTCCCATTGAGGTGAACCCGCAGAATAATACATAGTAGTTTCATGGAAGACCACATTAAGAGTAACATAAAATTTGCTAGAAGGAGGGTGATAACATCGATAGCCTTTTTGATGCAGGGTATAGCCGACAAACACACATTAAAGCGCCCGGGATTCTAGCCTAGTTCACAAGCCTTTGCGAAGATGCACAAGGCTACACATCTAAAAACTTTAGGAGATAAATTTGGCACAGTAGGAGCACTTGCAATGCGATGAAGAACCTTAAAAGGAGTTTGAAATTGCAGAGAAATAAATTAAATATTAGAAATATGCATTACATGTAATTTCATATCTCGATACTAAGCGACAAATAAAATAAAATTTTTGTTATTTTTAAAATTTTGATCAATATTCTCTTGACTTTAATAAACTAGTTATTAAAACTAAAATACATGCTAAAATATTGTTTTTGGTATATGAAAAATACAATATGATTTCTTTGTAACTTTAAGACACTAGATCATATGCACAAAAATATTTTTAATTTTTTTTAATTTTTTGTATTTTTTTGAAGGTTTTGACGAAAACTGAGTATTTTGATACTGGATTTGTATTTTTACGACATAAAAATACTGTCAAATATTAATCAAAATTACATAAAAAACATGCAAAAAAATTTAAAAAAAATCTAAAATAAGCATTTTAATTTTTTTTAAAAAAAATAAGTCAAGTCAGCCCAAATACATGGGTTGGGTCGAACCTAGCCCAACTGTATAGGTTGGGCTTAGCCCAGCCCATATTAGCTAGTTACTATGCATAACATAATAACCAGCTTCTCCCTACTTGCAGACATGCACAGTAAGAGCACTTACAATGCGATGAAGAACCTTAAAAGGAGTTTGAAATTGCAGAGAACTAGAAGGTACACGGTTGATGATGTAGGCTTCAGTAGTAACAACTTCTCCTCAAGTAGGCATGTGCGCTTCAAATAAGGAAGCACGAATGACCTCAAGAAGGTGGCAATTTTTGCATTCGGCTACCCTATTTTATTGAAGGGTGTAAGGGCAAATTATTTGATGAATAATGCCTTGTGAATTCAAGTAATGTTTCAAGCTCTGATTGATAAATTCTTTCCCATTATCAATACAGATAACCTAAATGTTTGAATGAAATTATGTTGCTATCTTTTTGTGAAATTGCTCGAATAGGGAACTCACGTCACTCTTTGATTTTATTAAACAAATCTAAGTCATATGGGTGTGATCATCAACGAATGAAATAAACCAACGTAATCCATTTAGAGAATGAGTATTTACAGACCCCATGCATCAGAGTGAATAACCATAAAAGGT